TCTAGATAAAGATCCTTTAATATTTGATACATCACTACATCTCAAGAAAGATCCAAGTCAAGTATTAAACCAAACGAAGGTTATATAGGGCGGAATTATTTCTGGCCTCCTTAAGTTCTTGCCAAACGAGAGATATCCACCAACCAGTCAATCAACCAAACATTGCTAAACATTGTTAAACCCAGTCACCACCGCCACTGCCTACCATCACCACCACTGTAATCAACCAATCACCACCGCCGTCACCACTGCCGCTGCCTACCATCGCTACCACCAGTCACCACTGCCAACACAACCGAAATCAATTGGTCGAAACCAATCAACACAACCAAAATCGAAAAAGCCATAAACAACCGATTCCAATTCCAATTCCAATCACCCCCCAAATAACTAATTCCAATTTCATCTTAACTTGCAGAAGTATATGCAGAGTATTGAACCTCACCTCGATTCATCAGTCGGAATCCAATTTCACAAGCTCACTCGATTCTGGACAAAATTGCAGGTGGCCCATGGTGGTAGTGGATGCGCCTGGTTGAGAGGAGTAGAGTGGTGGTCGTCCACGATCGAAACGGTGGCCGACGGCGGTGGAAATACTGCGAAAACCGAGACTGGTAGCGCGGTTTTGGGTGGTGATTGGGGCTGTTTTCTGCAACTCCATGGCTAGGTGATGACAAGAGGTTGAAGAGGGAGGTGAGGGGGATCGAATGGTAGTGGTGTCTTGTGGTCTAGGTGGCGGGTGGTGGTCGATTGTTGAGGAAGAAGGCGGGGATTTTCTTGGTCGCTCACGCACAGGAGGAAGAAGAGGAAATGAGCCATTTCGCGTGTTTTCGAACTTTTGAGCGTTTTGGCCTAAAAAGGGCCAAAACAACGTTCCAAACGTTTTCCATTTTGTGTACAAATTATTTTTGTGTTTTCAAAAATTCGTTTTGGAAAATGGGAAAGAGAACGCGTTTTCACCGTTTTGGAAAATTGAAAACGGAAAATGGCCCGAAAACACCAAAGAGAACAGGCCCTTAGCCTTCAATTTATTTTAAAGGTTTCCGCCCAACTTGCATTGTTCTGGCTCTGCCCTCGACTAAAATTGTTCAGTGCCATTTAGTCCAATTTACCAAACATGCTATAAAGGTTCATAGTCGACCTTAATTTTTATTTTCGACTGTAATTCCAGTGTCACAAGTATGAACTGATTACGTACACAATATCAGGCCTAGCCACTATAACAAATTAAAATAGCACCTGAAACTCTCATCCCACGTTGACATAAAAATGTACAAATAACTAAGAAGAGTCGAGAAAGCAAATCCTTCACCTCTTGCTCGGAAGCATTACTTGAGATAATTCTTCTGATGCAGACGCCTTATCCACAACACAACTCAAAGCCTCGTGAATAGAACTCGCTATGAGTTCCTGAGCTTCAGTACTGTCATTCATCTTGTCTCTTCTGGCAGTTAATAAGAACATGATCTTCACCCGACCTTCCAAGGTAGAGATTTCGATATTTGCCAAAGCCACAGGAAGCACATTGAGACAAAGTCTTGTATCAGACAAGAGATCTGGCCTGTAATGACAACAAATATAAGCCCTAAATGAGTAAGATCCTCCTTCTGCATCCTCATCGAGTAGTTCAACCTTAACTTCATCAGAATCTGTTGGAATGTGTAAATCTTCACTGGCTTGTTTCGTGGTTTTCTTCAGTTGTTTCACTTGGTTGATAACTTCAGCGAGTAATGTAGCTTTGTCCATCTATCGACAAACAATTGAAAGAAAGAGTTAAGCTTAAACTAAGTTCTTGACATGACATGCAACGGTGGCAAATCTAATACGAAACGAAAACACTTTCAACGAAATGCTCAAACTTGCACAATTTGCATAAATAAGGGTTGATTAACTTGAACTATCAATCTTTGCCTACTCGCACAGTGTGTTGAATTACCTCATCCAAAAGTTTAAGTTGTTAAAGAGGACATAATTATTTATTTAAATTTAGTCTTCCACATTCAGAAGTAGCATAAAGTCTTCCATCTCGATTGGCATTAATAGGCCAACTCATGGACCGATTGCACCGATCAAATTCAAAGTCAAGTTAGATGGACCAATAAGAACCAATTGAATTTTTATGCAAACTCGACTACAATGTAATAACTCTTATGCCTTGTTTAATTGATGCAGTTTTGCAATACAATTTTGTTCAATCAAGTCAAATGTCAATATTGGGTGACTATGAAAGTGATAAGATAGCAACTTACTCAGTAAATTACATGTTCGAAATCTATTTGTTCTTCATGTCTAAGTCTCTTTTTAATACGTAACCCAAACCACAAAAATATATTAAATACGATAAATTCTATTCACATAGCAATAATATATAAGAAAGACTCAAATTATTATAATTTAAAAGGGGGTCCATGTGGAAAAATTGGAAACAATTCATAGCACATCAGCTGGCAAGGTAGCCTACTATCCAACAATAATCTTCCTCGTGCTAAAACCAATAAAAATATTAATCAACCATTTTAGAAGACAATGATTTACTAATATATATTTAAGTCGGCAAACAAACATTGACATTTAACATTACAGCTTCAGCCGAAAACATCAACCTCTAAAATTTCAAACTACCAATGAGAAGGCATACTCTAGAACATCAACCTCAAAGGTTACGTCCTTAGACGGAAACATGATCGTACTAACTGCAACAAGTTCGCCGTTTATCAGTAGACGCACTATGTTGATTACAAACATGATCGTACTAACTGCAACAAGTTCGCCGTCTCTTTTTCTTTTTTTTTTTTTCCATATTTTGTATGTGGAAGTTACTTCTTTAACCAAAACTGATAAAGCGTGAATCAGAAGTATAACGAATAAAGAGAACTGATATATCACAACAAAAAGAAAACTTTACTCAAACTGGAATTCAAGTGCAAAAAACAGAATGAGATAGAGATGATAATCAAGCAACAGAAATTTTCAGCATAACGAGGTGATTTCTGAAGCATATGATCAATAAAATATACACATAACAAATGATCAATGAAAATAAATGTACTTAAGTCATTAAGAACCGAATCCAACGAAAAATCGTATGGATCACCAATGTTTTTCACTTTCACCAAAATGTACCAATAGAGAGAGTTCATATAACAGGTACAAGAAGTATGAATCTCCATAATAATTTTAACACTTGAAGTGGAATGTATAAAAAGAGATTTAATGTATCAGATCACAATAAGTATGAATTCCATTAGCTGTGACAACCATTCCACCAGTGCAGAGAACTTCACTCATGCTACTAATTAATGCATGACTATAAATAAAAGAAGAATGCCGCAAGATCGCACATCATGTGCTACAGAATTTTAATGTGATATTTAATAATCCTTATGACAAATATAGACAAGAATATCAAATATTATGGCAACTCATAACCAGCAAAAAACATCACTAACCTTTTCTTCCCCAGGTACAAGACCTCGAAGTGTCGCCAAATGAGCATTAATCCTCTCTCTCCTCCTCCTCTCGGCCTCGCTATGGCTCTTTAAAGCGGCAACTGTTTTTGCCTCTGAAAAACACCTTTTCTTCCCAGTTTCGCCTAAAGTTTTCACTAGCCCCTTCTCACTGTCCAATACCAGTGATTGCCCAACTGACATAGCCTCACTTCCCCAATTCCCTGCAAGTCCCTCACAATCTGATTTAAGGTTCAAGCTATTTGGGTTCCCAGAATACATCCTCGCACTCTCAATCCCACCAATTCAAAACATATCAAAACTTACGCGTGTGCATAACCACGTATATATAAAGCTAACACGATCAGATTGAACAGATTGGCAAAATCAGTTATTTGTGTCCCAATTAAACAAACCTATGCTTTCCCTTCCAATAATAAAACCAGCATTCATAAGCTTCAAGAAAATGACCAAAAGGTAATATTACAAGCAAATGCACTAAAATCAGGTCATTTGTGTGGAAATTAACCTCTAGAGGTGTCTGTATATCAAAAGGAGGAGGGGGGGGGATCTTCCCTCAAGTGTGAGAAATTAACAAGAAAAATAAAATCTTGATTATCCTCGCAAGAGGAAATTGCACATTCTTTGACACGTAACAAAATAAAAGATTAGATTTGATCGAGAAATATAAAAGTAAAACATCTACGGGTCAAGACCAGGAGGACGAGTGGTGGGTGCGAACCAAAACGACAGCATTTTAGAGCGGAGCTTGAGAGTGGCAACAGACGACACGGCGGCGTTGGCAGTGGTTAATGGCAGAGACATTATTTTATGAGAAGAGAAGAAAGTTAATAGAAGACGACAATTTGGGATTTGGGAAAAAAGGAATCAATGAGAATAAATCCACATCTTTCTCTTCTTAAAGGTCTTGAATTCCTGCATTTCGATGAGCTTTTGAGTAGAATCTTTGACAATTTGAAGCGAAAATCCAGAAAAAACTTGTATCTTTCTGTGTGGTGTACAGCCAGTGGTTTATAGTAGACTTTTGGGAACTGATACAGAATTCACGCAGTTAACTAACAAGATACATAATAGAGGTTCATTGGACATGGCCCTCCTGTCAATTCCGAAATACAAATAGCAATACAATAATCTAATCTGCCATTAGAAGTATGAAAGAAGCTTGAAAAATAGTGGCTACTAGGAAAAAAAAACTATGTCAGTACTTGACTTGGATGTTAATCAATAATAATAGTGCTAATCAACATAAATGGAATAGTGGAGTTGTCTAATTTAGAATTGGTGGTTAGAGATACAAAGTGGGTTGATGAGCTTAAGATAAGACTTGATATTTTTGTTGTGTACGTCATTAAATGCAGTTTTGCCATTTAATTAAGTTGTTACGAAAAATCTGAAAACATATGTTACCTGATTATAATTTGTTGAAAGATTTATTTAAAAATTTTGCAGGGTAAGACTTGATTATATAGCATAATTCATGGAAACGAAAGACACATTAGATTGTTATCACAAATAATGACGTAGGATTGAACGTTTAATTATAGTAGCAGTGCCTACGGAGTGATTAGAAATGTATATTAAAGTTCAATAACTTAATTGTGACATTAAATTTTAGTAGCTGAAATAATATTTCACTTAAATATCAATGATCAAATATGAAATTAACCCTTTTTTATTTTTATTTTTAAAAAAAAATATCACATTGGCCCTAAATCAAGAATGTTTGGTCCAACTGATTACTTGAGAATGTAATGTCTAATTTCATTTATTTGACATCTAGATCTACATTCAATAGTTAACATATTTGACGAAAAAAGCGACTTTCTTATAAACCTTAAAGAGTACAAATTATATGAAACAAAAGGACAATACACCTACAAAATTTGGTCCACAAAATTTTTACAAATATACGCTGGACAATTATTCATTTATTTGTGTCAAAAAACACACCAAAAAAAATAAAATCCAATCAGTATCTTTGTTTTCTTTACTTCAAATACTATAAGGTTCTGTTTAAAAGCATTGTTTTTCCATGGAAAATTCCAAGAAACAGCCTATTTGATAGGATTAATTTTCCTAGGAATTCATTTTCTTAGCTGCCCCTCCACGCACCCCTTTTCCAAGTTTTGAAGGAATTTGTTTTCTTTTGGTTTTGGTGGAAATCTGTTTCCATCTTCTTCTTCTTCTTTTTTTTTTTTTGCTCTTTGTTTTTTTTAATTTACAATTGGAACAAATTCCAAATCCAATGGTAAAAAAATCTATTCCTTTAATTGACAATTTGCATGAAAAACAAAGTCAAACGAACACAAAAAAAATTCGAATTTTTTTAATATTTTTTTTTTTAACTTTTTGGCAATCCAAACAAATTTTATCACCAATTATAATAAATTGTATTCATTTAATTGACAGTTTCCATGAAAATGAAGCCAAACGGACCAAGTGAAAAATTATACCAATCAAACACGATTAATTACAATTTTCAGTAAAATAATTTATAGGCAAACCAATTCCTTGAAATTCATTTTCTTTTCACCTACTTTTCACATTTGCAATCAAACGGACCCTAATTGCAATATTTTACTAGGATTAAACTAATTGTGAAAACTTCTTACAACCCATTTGACAATAGTTCATTAGATAATTCGCACAAAATATTTTAATTGTTTGCATTCATTGAGTAAATCTTCCTTATAAAAATTGGCATTTACACTCTTATTTCATTTCTTGTGGTGTTGGTCCCTTTCATCTCCACTAATTCTTTCAGTCAAACATGTATATTGGCGCCAAGCGTCATTATTGTTCACTTTTATTGTGCAAAACGTGCCTATCGTTTACTTTCATTGGGCAAAAGGTACATATCGTCTATTTTTAAAATCAAATTTTTTTTAATTTTTTTTTTACTTTTTGGCAATCCAAACAAATTTTATCACCAATTCTAATAAATTGTATTCATTTAATTGACAATTTCCATGAAAATGAGGCCAAACAGACCAAGTGAAAAATTATACTAATCAAACACAATTAATTACAAGTTTCAGTAAAATAATTTATAGGCATACCAATTCCTTGAAATTCATTTTCTTTTCACATACTTTCCACATTTGCAATCAAATGGACCCTAATTACAATATTTTACTAGGATAAACTAATTGTGAAAACTTCTTACAACCCATTTGACAATAGTTCATTAGATAATTAGCACAAAATATTTTAATTGTTTGCATTCATTGAGTAAATCTTCCTTATAAAATTTGGCATTTACACTCTTATTTCATTTCTTGTGGGGTTGGTCCCTTTCATCTCATTTCACTAATTCTTTCGGTCAAAAACGTCATTATCATTTACTTTCATTGTGCAAAACGTACCTATCGTTTACCTTCATTGTGCAAAAGGTACATATCGTCTATTTTCTTCATTAAAGCATTGTAAAACAATTAATTTAATTATAAAAAATAAATAAATAGAAAATAAATAATTATAGTTAAAGTCCTAAAATTTTCAAATAGTGAAAACGAGTACCATTTAAAATAATTTAAATACATATTAATAAAAAAATTCATTTTCCCAAAAATAAAAATCCTCTTAGCTGATTTGAATTAGAATAGTTAGGTTTGGATTAAAGTCTTGAATGAACCATCTAATGAAAGAAGAAAGTCCATCTTCAGACATCATTTTGTGAAACAAAAAAAAAAAAAACTTGAAGAAAAGTAGAGCAAAATTTAGAAGTTAATGCATTTGTATGTGTGTGTATATAGATGAATGATCTAATGAGCACCGATACTCATTTTATACTGAGCAGTAAACACTGGTAACATGTCATATTAATTAATTGGTGGATAAAAAATTTGTGGATCTCAATAATTGAATTAAATTTGTTAATCCACTAATGAATTAATCTAACACGTCATCGGTGCTCAGTAAGATGAGCACCGATGCTCATTATATATGCATATGTATATAATTTGTTGAAAATAGCTAAATCCCTTAAAAAAAACTCTTGAAACAAAAAGATATTGAAACATAAAACTTGATTAGAAGAAAATAATTAAATCCTTGGATGGTTCCGTTGTGGGATAAGGAGAATCATGAATGAGTGGTGGTGGCCGATTACAAGGTGCGGAATTAGGTAGGTAAGAAGAACAATTTTTTTTTTTTTTTTTTTAAGTTTTAAGATTTTTTTATTTTGAACACTTTCTTTCTTTTTTATAATTTTAATTATCCTTTTAATTATTTTGGTGGTGGTGAAGGGTAGAGGATTGGGGTAGGGGTATGTTGAGTTAATTAGGAAGATGAATTTTTTTTTTTTTTTTTTGTTAGTATATTTTAAATTGTTTTATGTGAGATTCTTTTATATTTTTTAAAAATTTGAAATTCTAGCTTCAATTGTTTTGTTTATATATTATTGTTATTTTTTCAATTTGTTTATTTAAAGAGGAAGGTAAATTAAATTTTTTTTTACATAATGAAAGCAAATGACATGGATGTTTTGTACCAATTACACACATTTAACGGAAGAAAATAACAGAAGGAGGCAAAAATAACCAACTTTGCAAGAAAAAGTTGAATAAGGAAGCAATTTCCAAATTTGAAACGATAAAAACAATTTGCACAATGAGTGCAAATGATGAGAACGTTTTATGCTAATTACCCTAGTTTATTCATACTACAATTCTATTATTAAACTAAATAGCAAAACAAAATTACTTGGCTTGAATTCAATTGAATGTTTATCAATAAATAGAGGATAAGTTTGAATTGACTAATTTTATTAATTGTCCATTAATAATTTATTTTGTGTTATTTTTCAAACACTTATATTTTTAGTTTATTGCTCCAAATACTTATTAAGGTTGTCGATATTTTTTTCACCTAAATATAATATTCTCAATTATGTTCGTTCTTAACATATAGTTTTGTAATGCTATGATCGATATTTGTTTTCAAAAAAGACCTATGCCCTTTTAATTTTGTTTGATTCAAAATCAAATAGACGTAGAATCAGATAGGATTTCTTCAAGAATTATTCTCCTTGTCCAGGGTTAAAAACAGG